TTCGCGTTTACTAACCGATCTAAAAACGCCCCTCCATTATGCCCCACCCTGTAATTGTTTTATGATTACATGAGTCTCATGGCTTCCTTGTTCATAGCTGATTTGTTTAATTTTTGGGTCAAGAAAAAGTTTCAAAAGTTGACAAACACTTTCCAAATTGAGACTCATGTAATCATAAAACTGTAACTATTGCCACCCAAAAAAAGGAATATTTTTTTTGGTAAAATTTAAAATATGAAGAGCATACGAAAAAAAAAAAAGATGAATATTCAAATATAATAAATGTCCTGGAGAGCGTTTTTAACTTTAAAGTTTGAATTACTTGCAAGCAAGTTATGTATTTAGCAAGTAACAAAAATATGAATCCACCCTAAAACATAACAATAGTCATTTTAAATTTAAAATGAGCAATAATTTACCTGCGTTTGTATTTAACGATTTATACTCGAAAAATTGGACCCTTATTACCGTTTAAATTATTCTTGGACATTTATTATTTTTTACAAGTATGCGGTATTTTCAAATAAATGTTTTGTGGCAGTTATCGCGATATATTGGTTTAACCAATAGATGGAGCTTTTTAAAAGTAATATAATTTAAGTAAACTAACAAAAACATTTTTCCCATCTATTCTTCATATTAAAAAATAATAATAAAGGAAAATTAAAGAAAAAAATTGAAGAAGGCTGAGAATATAAACACATAAAAAGTAAAAATTAATTACCAAACCTTATTTCCAAGAAAGTACTCCAAAAAGTCTATAAATAAAAGGTTTAAGGAAGGAAATTTTGTTAATACAAATCAAAGATATATTGAATGTGTTTTCATGAACATCATGATTTTCAACTGAACTCCCTTCACTCCCTAATAAAATTCTAGTTTACGATTGTTTTATACCTCAGAAGACGTGTGTATTGCATAAATTATGTTTTTTAAAACTGTAAGTTTTAGATTCTAGTGTCAAACAAAGATTTGTTTAATTATTATGTAATCTTTTTAGTAGATTAATTAAATAAATCAAACAAAGTAAAAAACTATTAAAAAAATTAAAATAAGGGAAAAATAAAATCAACTCACAGAAAATTTTATTTACAAAATAAAATTAAAAATATTAACTAAATCCTAATAACAAGACAAATCAAAAATAAAAATAATACAAAAATACCTGGTAAGTGTGATAACTTAATAAATGCATTATAAAAATAAAATGAAATATTACCAGATATTCTCACAAAACAAAAAATAAATCTAAAATAAATAAAATTATTATTAAATCATACACAATAAAGTTGAGTATTAAAAATTAATCTATAAACAAATCTAATCTAAACAAAAACTTAAAAAATAATGGCAACAATTGAACTAATTTTACTAATTTGATACTTTGATTTAACTAAATAGCAATATTAGTTAGACGAAAATAAAAATTACTAATAATGTAGCGGAATAAATTCATTTTTGATGTTACTTATGAAGTTTGAAAGACGAGACAGGTAGCTTGGAATCGATTTTAAATGTTTGAATGCCACAGACAATAGAGGGCTTGTATACAAGGGAAGTGTAACCAACTTGACAAAATAAAATTGACACTAATGACATAAGAAATCGGGTCACATAAGGAGGCTGTTTTTTAGTTTTCCTATCTACTTTCATGCCAATTGCATACCTTGTTGTACCCGTAACATGAAAAAGACTTTTTAGTTTAGGGTATTTTACATTTAAAGGTTGATGGTAGAACACAGGCGTAACCATAGATGAGCATAACGTAACTACTATTGTATGTATAAATAAAACCAAATGAAAAAAATGTTTCAAGAAAGCGGGAGAAACACACATAGACTATTAACAACAAAAAATAAAATGCAATGCTACGCTTATGTTTTGACATTATCGACAGCTGAAATTGACAAATTTTTTCAACCTTTAAATGTAAAATACCCTAACATAAAGTCTTTTACGTTACGGGTACAACATGGTATCTAAACGGCATAAAAGTAGACACGAAAAACCAAAAATTTAACAAAAAACAGCCTCTTTATGTGACCCGATTTCTCATGTCATTAGTGTCAAAAAAAAAATTGTCAAGTTGGTTGCACTTCCCTTGTATAGGAGTCCTCTATTGAAAAATAATATAACAATGTACAAAGAGTATCCCAAAATTTAGAAAAAATGTAACGCCAATTTTACTTTATGCCCACGTAAAGTATATAGGAAGTTATGAACGAGAAAATAAATTTACACAAACTTTAAAAGTTTTAAAATGACACTTGATTAAAATTTTATATTAAATGGCGCTGTCAAATTATTAATTTAAATCCAAAGTGTTAAAAATCGTTGAAATCCGCTAAAGAAAATAACATTAGACTCAACTCAACGGGCGTTTTTTAACGTAAAAAATAAATATATTCCGGGTTCTACAGCGATTAATTAGGAACTGATTATTTTTAATTTTATCTTGATTGAAACTTTCACAAATTAGGTCATTAAAAAACACTCTAAATATTTCCGATATTTCCATACATTTTTCCATTTGGATCAAACTAAATTTTAATTATATGTACAATAAACTTTTTTTTTACCATTTACTTATCAAACCGATTTTTTATCATTTCAGAAGATCAAACTTGATTACAGAAATAAAAAAGTTGATTTGGTAAGTGGTAAAACTTTGTATTAACAAAAGTTCAAGAGACTAAACGAAAACTGTACACATATTCCAAGGACTAGAAATATTTAGAGTATTATGGCTGGTTCAACCCGCAAAAGTATTATTTCAACTTCTAATCAAACAAACCCTGTATTTTCCAGATTAATTACATGTAACAATTAATGAATAATTCTAAATAAAGTTAAAATTTCCTGTGTAACCAACCATGATATATTCAAACAGTGTATATTCAAAAATCTGTATAGTGACTCAAAACCTTATACTTTAACATTTGAAATGAGGTTAAACAGATCTCTATGCCCATGCAATGATTGTTATTTAAATGCATAACTCATTTCAAATCTTAAGGTTCACACAGTTTTATACAATTGTAGTAACTACTTTTTTATTTGAATGTATGTCCACATGCTAAAATTGAATTCACTTCAGTCAAGTGAAAAAAGAAATTAACTATAGAAAATTATTTATTTTTAACTTTAATTGAATTATTCTCTGAAAATCATGTTAAATTCTAAGCAAAAATTTTGTTGAACCCTTTGATGTTCCAATGAACGGTACGGATTTTGTAATGAGTCCAACAATTACAGAATCATAAAAATGTATCTGTTTATAAGTAATCATCAAATCATAATTGCACTACGCTGGTACACATTACTATAAACTGTTTCTCAAAAATAATTCTTTTAATCTATAGGAAGACAATTAATTGATTCTCTAATCTGAGTTATTAATTTGATTTTACATTATTTTGTGTTTTTCTCTTTTCATTATTTCCTTCCTTTGCAACTCAGGAGGACTGAATCAACAGAACATCTGAAAAAGAACGGTTTTATATTCTGATATTTCATTTAACGAATATACTACATACCTATTCAAATATGTCCTAAACTACATACAACTAGTTTTTTACTGTTTATATAATACCACCAATGTACCACTCAAAACACTTGCCAAAAATCTGTGCTAAGAGTGATCATCAAAAATACATAAAGAATACAAAAAAAATTTGATGGGAAAATAATCTAAATATAGGATTATTAAACATGAAATTTAAGAACTCGTTTACATGGCTTTCATATCCTTGCCTCATATGGGGACTGTTGAATAAGTCTGGAGAAAATCCAATATAATTTTAAGGATCAAACAAACCTTAAAGAATAATGCTCTTATTTTCAGGAAAACAAACATTTTCAAATAATGGAGAAAATCTAATTCCGAATCACGATAAAAATTATTACGGAATCCAAAGCAAAGCTGAATTAACATTAAAAGATTTTCGCCCGTTCCATTAGATTGGTTAAGAAGTGGTTCAGTAAATTAACAGGTGAGCAAAAGTTATTTCTTAGTGCCTTAGGCAAAATATTGAAATTATATAGGGTAGAGACAAAGTCTGGCAACAAGGTATGAATGAATGTATAATTCTGAAATTGTCGGGTGATGATTGGGATGGTATTCTGTATTTTTTAGAGGACATGTCAAATTTATGTGACGTCAGCGTTTATCGTACCGCCGCCTTCTTGATTTTTTTTAAATGACAATTTTTTTCACTTTTCAAGAATACTAAAAAAGCACAATACTAATGTAATATAGTCCCAATTATTTTATTTTATTTATTTACGGAAAATCTCCTTTTACAAAATAATTATTATCAGTAGATATTTTAAACCTAACCTAAAGTATCACACAAAAAAGAAGAAAAAAAAACTTAGAGCTAAAGCTAACTCGATAAGTACTCCCTCAGCTGATTTTTAAACCTAAACCGACTAACTCCCAAAAGATCAGCGTGTCTGTATTTCATTTCCTTGCCTTTGAAATCTGGTTAGAGGACTGTTGAGTCCGTAGTTCGTATGATGGAAGCTAATTGAAAATAATGGATGATTCTCTCTAATATTTATGTTGTTTAATCACCCTAAAATACCTGTTGCCACACTTTTTCGATACCCTGTATGTATAGGATTAGAAAAAAACCACAATAATGTAATACAGTCCCATTCATCATCCTACAATTTCATAATTGTATATTCATTCGTTTAAAAGAAAATTCCTCGTTGTGAGACTGTATGCTACCCTGTATACTTTTTTATTTCCTTTTTAATGACCGCTTTATTTAACATTTTCCGAAATAAGCGCTTAGAAAACAGTTTAAAATATAAAAAACAATCCAAAAATTAACAATAGCATTGAAAATCTACCAATTTAAATTGTATATAAATGATCACCACATTAAAAAACGCACATCGAAATAAATATGAAAACAAAAAATATATTTTCAATTTAAGAAATATTCATTCTATAAAAACTACAAAAAAATTAAATAAAAAAAATGACTTACCACTTCCGCTTAAAGCGGATTCCTCCTTATTGTAACCGTATACTGTGTTCTCACTGTAGAATGGCATTGGCATGTACTCCAGTGGATTGTAAGTACCACTATATGGCATGTAGTTGGGCACATTCGGTAACGGGCCCACGCTATCCGTATCGCCCTGTATTTTGAGGTTCGTCATCGCCGAACAGAGGTCGCCGAAGATGTAGTAGCACTGCAACAAACAGATAAACTCATGATGGGTAATTGCTTCTTTGTAGGCTATATTAGTGTGATGTAATTTGTGTTCCAATAATAGTTGAATTTTAACAAAAACAAAGCATTCTGTCAATGAAATGAACATAAATGTTTTTAGTTTTGTTTGCAGATCGCGTAAAAGTAGTTTAAAAGGTATGTAACTAAATTATTTTTAATATTCAATGAATAAATACATTAAAAAATTATTGAAATAAAATGTTAATGAATATAGACCGGGAGCCGAGAGGGTTTTTGCATGTACCATAGACCTCACGTAGAGGCTTTGGGGGTTGATGGACAATTTTCGGTATGGCATCCCTAAAGTGTAGCTTTTAGGGGGGGTGAATTTTCAAACGTGTAATTAATATCCATGCCCCTGGATCATAGGCCCCACTTTGGTTCTTGTTTTATGTCGTTAAGGAGGTTGCCAAAGTCTGTGAACTCAATATGCCATACCAATATGGCGTCACTTAAGGCCCGCCATACTTACCGAAACGTGTAATTTTTCCACTGTGGACATGGATCATGGGCCGCATGCTGTTGTTTCGTGATCTTTGTTAAAAATGAACTGTAAAACAAAGATTTCAAAACGCCATCATCTGTGGCATCGCCAAATGGCCGCCATAATAGGACAAATATGTAATTTTTAGCAATGAACATGTATAATAGCCCCCACCATGGAAATGTATCTCCTTTGTTAATTTTGATGTCCTGAACAAAGTTCTAATAGCACCATACCGATGGGATGTCGCCAACGTCAGATATTGGCTTCCAAAGGTGTTACATTTGTATAGGTTAAGTGTATTAAAAGATCCCGCATTTTTATGTGTATTTTGAAGGATAAAGCACGAATATATCACTGCCATACCGATGCGATGTCTCTAACGTCAGATATTGGCTTCCAAAGTTGTCACATTTTCATAGGTTAAGTGTATTAAAGGCCCCACTGCCATTTTTATGTGTATTTTGAAGTATAAAGCACGAATATTTCACAGCCATATCCATGGCATGTCGCTAACGTGCACAATTAATGGTACAATGCGAAAAAAATATGCCGTTCTTTGGCAGGTCTTCATACAATGACCGGATGCGATTATATCCCAGCTTTATACCGCAAAGGAAAGAAAAAGCCGTTGCAAATTGTTTTGTAGAATGAGGAATTCCAAGATGATTTTATTAACAACGTGAAGAAAGCTTTTCCGTGATTGAACAATTTGTGTGCAGGTTTATTTTTATTTCTCTAGTATATAGAATAACCAACAAGTCATACATCGATTCGTACAAAGTCAGATTGGCTCTATTTTTAAAATCGTACAGCATGAAGAGTGATAAACAATCATTCAACAAGACATTATGAAACTTTGATGCCTCGACTATTCTAGCATGCAAAGCTGAGTTACATCAACAACTATTGCGAGTATTTTACGTTGCCGAGATTTGGTATAACGCCCATTTGAAAGTTTCAACAGTGCACGAAAATGCTTCCCATCATTGTTGGGATTTGTCTGACGATGGCTATACTTTCAAGTGGTTTGATAATGAAGCTATGCCAAACACCATAAATGTAATAGTTCTGCAAAATATTGAGACTGAGGAGCGTAACCCAGAAGAACAGGAAACGATACAAACCATCGAGCAAGGTTAATGTAACGTTTGTTTAATTTATTTATAGTTTTTTTTATTTAAAACAACAATTTATTTATAACATACTAATTAATTTATATAATATTTAGACACTATTATAACCCACAATTTTAATTTATTTATTACAATATGTCTTTACTGTCTAACACTTAAATTGAATCTTCCCGTCCGTCGACAAACTCGCGCTATTTATATAAAGAAAGCTCTAGAACACTCTAGGCGACCCAGAAAGATCTGGAACTGCCTCTATGACTCATACGCCACAAAGGGGTCACTCCGGCAGCTTCTCAAAGCGGTGCGTTGGTCTCTATATGGCCAGCGCTAGACTTTATACCGCGGGCAAGGAGTAAACAAGGAACAGAGACAGCTTCGCGTCACATTAATATAAAATAAAATAGCATTATTAAGTCTTTTGCTCAGATTTTTTCCTTTTCTTCTACCACACAATGAAAATATGTCAAAGTCTCTCTACAAATTTTCAAGATGTTTTGTGCCTCTCACATATTTAAACCATGCAAATAAAATACTAATTATTGCAAATTCGACTCACCTGCTCAGAAAACGTAATCTTGTTAACAGTATGCCGGATAAACCCCGCTTTCAACAAATGCGAAGCATATTTCCTAGCGTCTCTTCTCTCCTGGAACCCCTCCACGTGGGTCAGCAGCCAATCTATCATGTCGGTGCCGATAAACGCATTGGGGATAGTGATTTTAAGCCACATTCGGTCCCTAATCTCCAAACCGCTGTCGGGCCTCTGCATGGCCTGGACCACTTGGGACATTGGAGAGTTGACAGATATAGGTTCGTCCATGTCTGGAAATGTTTCATATTCTTGGTTTTTTCGGGGTCGGGTTGAGGGGGAAGGTGTATTAAAATGTGAAAGAAATGTTGTGTAAGAAAGAGATGGGCGGTTTTCCCAGATGTAAACGGAAAATTGCATTTACATTAACGGTTTTTTTTTTTACAAATTATGCATGGTTTTCGATGTATAAAAATTAATGATAAATGTATGTATTTACTTATTTAACGCCTCAGATCGCGATCAATCACAAGTTGGCATTTGACAGTTTTCTATAAATTCAAATAGTTGTAAGCTCACCTAGCAACATTAGGTTTGTTCCCACTGTGATCAGAAACAGGTCGCTGATACCAGGATTCTGTACAGTTGATAATTGTAGGTTCCCAGAAATATTTCTTACAGTTTTGAAATGTGTCGTACATTATTCCAACAAATGTCCCTGGTGTTCTGCTGACTATTGTAACATACCGACGTCACTATAAGGTTAATGGAGTATTGTTCAATATCATGCTTTAGCCGAGCTGTCATTGATCATGGTCCGAGACGTTAAGTTTATTATTTAACATGAATTAACACTCCTAACTCGCGATAAGACAAACAACCTTTCTAAAGGGATAACCGCCGATAAAAATGAGAAATTTATATATATTAAAAAAAAAAATGTTTTATATGTTTGTGACTAAGCTGATTGGATTCATACATAGAGAAGAGGTTCCCATATTTTAAGGCCCGACCCTTCTATTTTTTCCGAATTTGGTCCAGGACCTGCAGCATTACTGAACCAAATATTAAATTTGTCAACCTACTTTTGGGAACCACTACTTTAAGGTTTGTTCCCATATCAATAGTAGACAGTTTCTGACAGAATTCTGTTATTTTTAAGAATAAATGAAAAAAAAAAAATAATAATAATTTAGCGTGAAACATTAAAAGCAATTTTTAAATTACATAAAAGTGTGATTTTTGAATAATTTAGAAAGAGAAAATTTTAATATAAATAAATTAACAGTCAAAAACTTAACAAATCATTGGGAACAAACATTTAGGCATATTAATAGTTTAATGAAATGAAAGAAAATAAACAACTAATCAAAGGGAGCATATATTATGACTTAAAATATATTTTAAGGTTTTTTAATTAATTATTGAACATTAGGGTGAGCCAAAATGATTAACCTATCGAATTTATGGTCTCAAAAGGGTCTATATGTTGAAAAAAAAAAAAAAAAAAAATTCTCCCATTGGGAAATTTTTTTAGCTCAATTTTAAAAGGCGTCGGTGGCCATTTGAAATTTCCCATTTAAATAACACACAAAAAAATTTTTGTCCATTAAAAATGCTATATTTTTTGAACCGTTTGAGATAGAAACTTTATCCAGGCATATTCTTGTAGGGCATGAAATTCTCTAAAAAAATACTCCGGAGTTGATTGTTTTGCCTTCAAAATTCATATACTTACATGCTATGAAAGTTGATGAAAACAGACATGTTTAGTAAACCCCCGAATTATAGATACTATAATCGTAGTCAAGTATTCAATAATGCTTAATCATGGCTATATTATTCGGTTAAATTAACCAGGTGCTTTTATAATCGTGTGTTTAATCAGAGACAGAAAATAAAGGCCCTAAGTAGATGTGATGAAAAACAGACATGTTTATTAAACATGTTGTTTTTCATCAACTTTCATAAGTATATAAATTTTGGAGGCAAAAAATCAACTCTGGAGTATTTTTTTAGAGAATTTCATTAGCTACAAGAATATTCCTGGATAAAGTTTCTATCTCAAAAGGCTCAAAAGTTATAGCATTTTTAAATGGACAAAAATTATTTTGCATGTTATTTAAATGGGAAATTTCAAATGGCCACCGACATCTTTTAAAATTAGTCTAAAAAATTTTTCCCAATGGGACAATTTTTTGTTCAACATATAAACCCTTTTGAGACCATAAATTCGATAGGTTAGTCATTTTGGCTCACCCTATTGAACATTATATTTAACAGAAATAAATCTATTAATCTAAAAATGATATATTATGACTATATAAACTACCAATTCATAAAAAACTAAAATAACTTGCAACAAAAAAAGCGACTGCAATGAGTGCATACATACCAGGACCAAGAAGACACTCACGTTCATTGGCCGGTATTGTACTCGCAATAGATGAGCTAGATACTGTTGAACTGCTGGGAGGTCGTGCCACGGGGTCCCCTCTCACCGCCGCAGTGTGTGCTACCCACGCACCTATAACGGAAAAATAAAGAACATGGATCATAATAGTGCAAACATTAACATTTGTACATCTCTCTTGTATGGGTCAGGTGTGTATATTATGTCTGTGTTAACGTGAAACATTTGTTCTTACCAGGATCAATGGGCCTAACTGGTTCTGTTCTTGGTATCGTAAAGTATCCCTTTGGATTGGGATCCCAACATTTGGCAACTACTAATTTTATGGGTCTAAAATTAACAAATTCGGGGTATAAAAACATTAATATGTAAACACACGGACTATGTAATCCAGTTAAAACTTACCCCGGTTTTTGTACAACTTCTCGTAATACTTTAACAGCCTCGTCATTTGACATATTTTCAAAATTAACATCGTTCACTTGTAATATCATATCACCCGGCTCTATCCTGCCGTCTAACGCTACCGCACCCCTAAAAAAACGACTATATTATCACGAAGAATACTTTTTAAGTGAGTAATTTACCCTTTCATTATCGACCCGACATATATACCTCCGTCTCCACCCTTATTGCTCTGTCCCACAATAGAAATACCTAAAAAGTTCACAGTATCCATGTTCAAAGTAACTGTAATTATATTTAAAGACATGGTGGAATCTGTAATGCTTGAATACGAACTCGTTCTCGACATTGCCTAAAATTATATTTTTATTAAAATAAAAAAAATTTATAATCCAATCATAGAATTACCTGCAATCTTTGTTTCCGTCGTCGTTGCGGCCTTTTTCTGCCGGCGACATGCAGTCGACTCACACTCGAACATTCTGACAATGCTGTATGCCTTCCAGTGGTCTCTGATTGAAAACTGGTCGTTTCTAAATCAGAGCTAACTATAGATGCAGTCTCATATACTCTACAAGGAAAACAACAAAATAAGACATCAAAAAATAGCTAGTAATGCTTTTTCAACAATTAAATGTTTTAAATTTTAAATCAAAGTTTTTTAAGTTAAGCGCCTATCACAATAAGATAATTATATTGTCACACTCTCCTCACTCAAAAATCTTTATTAAATTAAAAAAATGCATATAGGAATATAAAACAGTAATTTTCAGAAATATAAAACAGTAAGTGCCTATGTGAGTGAACACTTGTATTGCACCTCCAAAATGACACTAGCACTGAAAAAAAGTACAGTTCCAAAAAATTCAAACTTTGGGCAAGAGCACCTGCCAGTGGAACAAAATTTTCATTATGCCTTGGTACTGAGCAATTTCAGTCCAATAATATCAGTCACAAAGCTAGCTAGCGGGGATATCGTAGTTGCCACATGTTCGCTGTCTAATACAAAACATTAAGTACTGTATTTTTGGCAATGTATATACCAGGAATCTATGACAAACTTCTCTATTAATTTTAGAAAAATATAGTAGCCCATTGGAAATACTCTGACAAAAGTTACGTAATTTTATATAGACTTGTTGTTAAAAGCATATATACAAAGGTTGTCAAAGTAGAGCGATATAATATTACAAATTTAATATCTTCTGTATACAACAAGTTAGTGTGATAGTGTTTATTTTTGCTATAAATGATTTTTAAAATATATTTTTGTGTAACATTTAGCTTTTATAAAGAGTTCTTATACACTGCACCCCATACTAGAATACTGTAACGAAATAATGATTCAGCTAGATTTGTAAACTAACAATAACAAGGTTTTTGGCAAAATTTCAGGTAATTGATAGAATTTATAAATGAATTTCCTTACTTTTTTTGTCATGTCAAATGGAAAATTCTGACAGGATGACACTCAATATCAATTACTTTTATTTTCTGTTGCTTTTAACAATAGTTTTTCTCGGTCAGTAATTAGCATTAGAAGTATTAATATCGTTATTTTATTTTGACCAGCTATTTTGTAATTTCTTCAATAAAAATATTTTGAAAAACAATCTGTTCTGACATTTCTCGCGAATGTCAAGTTTAAATTTTTTCATAAAAAATTTGTAATTATTTATGTGTGAAAAAATTACAGTTATCAGAACTACATCTATTATCATTTATAGTATATGGAGTGTTATCAGGACTATCTATAATTTCATAACCTAATTTGAGATTGAAGTACTTACCAAGAGTTGTATTTAATAAATTATATCACGAATATTTTAAACTATTTTCAACAATTTGCTTCAATACTTTTTAATGAGCCAACCTACTAGATCTTTATAACATTAATGGAATAAAGAATCAAACCAATAACGAAATTGAATAGGATAAAATAAGGAATATATTTGAAAAATTTGTTAGATTGTTAGAAAACAGAAATAAGGATTAACTAAAAACCACATAGCTTTGGGAAGCTAGAGTGCGGTAACTTTGTTGTGGAACAAAAAGTTGATTAATTTTTTGTTGTATAACACAATCCAAATATACCAAGTATGATTCAGTTATTAGTTGGGTAACGAGTCTTCAACAATATCCCTAATCCACATGATCTGGTAAAACAAGAAATTGAAAGAAAACTGCTGTTCTTAGTGACTCTTAAGACATCTCAAGTATCAGTTCTGTCAAATAGGTCAAATTATTTTAGGGATACTGCTGAAGTTATTAATGTTACTTTTAGCCAACTAATTACATCAATATCAATTTAGTCACATGAAGACTTTGTACATGATGTGTGATTATCGATTAGTAATCAACTTAAAGTACAAGATATTATTAAATTGTGAGTGATATAATTATTTAAGCAATAGCTTTACATAATTAGCTAAATTTCATAAATTATTTGAGTTGTCTTACCTGGGAAGATGTCCGTTTATACGAGATGAGTATTTGTGATGTCGTCTACCCTGTCTTGAGCTTATAATACTTTCTGTATCTGTACAGACTGATTCGGGAGCGGGCGGTGGTAACCTAGTTTCTGACTGGTGAGTAACACTGTCTGTACATTGAGAACCCCCGTCGGATTGATTTGAACCATCAGCTGACACCAACTAAGTAAAAAAAAATAGTTTTTCAGGTATTTTGTATATTTCTATTAATGTGATAGGTGTTGCTTAAAACAATTTAATAGCTCTCTGTTTATAAATATTTTCAGTTTCTCAAAGGATACCCATATTTTGTTATAAACTGTGAGTTATAATTGTTTATTAAAGGGGTCTATTCTGTAAAAATTTGGTTAAAATTAACACAAGGTTTTTTTTTAGTTTTACACCCTTCAGACCTCCCTTGCTACGCCCTAATCCGTCTGTAGTCTGGCAGCACTGCAGCCTGCGGCTTATTGTACCACCATTTGAAGGTCCTACTACTTTCCCATTCACACCCTCATTTACTCTCATTCATTCCACGTCGTCGATGGTTAAACGCTAGTTGGATAAATCCCATGGTGACACGGCTGGAACCTCCCAGCGGTCACGCATCCACGACGTGACCGGAGAGAGCACTGCTTAACTGTTGCGAGTAAGTGGATGCACACTAAGCTCGCGGACACAAGGTTATAAAAATAACCGGATGTTATTTTCAATGTATTCTGTAAGGCATATTTAGTTAAAATTATAACTTATGTCAGTTATAAATCTAGGTTAAATCCAAAGTTTTATCAGTATGGTATATTGTAGACGTTAAAATTATCTGTCAAAAATTTAATGAAAATGGCTGGATTACAATATACTGCTTTTATGAATCACTTAAAAGGGAAAGGTGCAGAAAGTAAGTTATTTTACCAAACTACATATATATTTGTTTTTAGAAATGAATCTCGTATATTTAGGCGTAATTTAAGGGATACATCGGATGTATTCCAATTGCCTGATTGTACATTTTTAAAACTATTCCGCCTAAATAAGGAAGCGGCCCATTGGCTGATTCAAGCAATAACACCACATATAAATGATGGAATAAGATTTTCAAGTATCCCTATTTATCAAAAAATATTGTGCACAATTTTTTTAGGACATGGATGTTACCAAATGAACACTGGTAAAACATGTCAATTTCCGATGAGTCAGCCACTGTTGTATTAAGTTACTGAAGTTATCAGTACCATTTTATTTAAGGTAGTTCACTTGTAAAACGGCCTTTCTTAAAAATTCAATAAAATTGAAATATGAGGTTAATGAAAGTGTCTTTTATGTACCTAAAAAAAATAAAAATTTTTGACCGTCTGTAAAACGAGATATTAACAATCAAAATGTGCATAATTAACACTCTTGAAGCCCTGTCATGTACACAATCATTGCATTTATTTCAAGATATCTCGAAAACGGTTCTTACCATATTTTTTAAAAACTAATATAATGTAAATCAAGTTATAAAATTTTCTAAAAAAACGCTGAATTTTTTTACCGTTTTGATAAAGAAATATAGATTTTTAAAATAAAAATGTTCTTAAAGCAGTCGACGCATAGTGGCGTATTGTGATTACAACTTGGCAACGTTGTAATCGATACACTCAACGCCCGCTAATTCAAATGTCTGTTAGATCAGTGCTTCTCAACCTTTTTATTGCCGCGGACAGGTCAAGTTTATCACTTTATCGAGGCCTTCTGGGAAGGGACGTTGTTTATACTTTAGGTTGATATGATTTAACAATTTAAATTTAATTGTATTTAAACATGTCTTCAAAATTAAATAAATATGCAAAAGATGAATATAATTTTATTTAAACATGCAGTTATACAAAAAAAATGAATATAAAGTAATTTAAAATTTTTACTTACTAGTATGAGGAAGTCATAAAAAAATACAAATAAAAGTAATGATTTTCTGTAGTATTGATGATATCGTAGGAACGTTCATGACACCAAGAAATTTATTTAAAGCAGTTTGACCAAACCCTGAATGGACAACACCTTTAAATAAATAAAATTATATTAATTATAAAAAAATTATAAACATAACAAATACTTATGTATTTTTTTTTTAAATTTACCTAGAACTGCTTTAGTGTTGACATCTGAATGCTTAACTTCACTTTTTGTTGCATGAACTTTGTCCGTAGGTACTATAGTTTCAATATTACATTCATTACATTTTCATTACATTTAACATTTAAAATTGAATAAAGACCCTTTCGTGTTTTATTTGTAATATTTTCAAGAGAAAGAACTCTTTCACACCAGCAACATTTTAAATGTTTTCCCAACTCTAGTAATTCCACGATGCCACCACTGCACAGGTTATTTTTCAAGCTTGGGGTTTCCTTTCTTAATTTTTTGCATTATTCATAGCCAAAATTGATTTTTTGCGTTTGTTGAGGACGTTCTGCTTAACAAATTTTCCTTTATCTCGCAATTAATTGATCCTGACAATGAAACATTTTGATATTTACATTTATTTCACTTTAAGAATACAGTTGACGTTTCACAATATATTTGCGACGTTGCCGGATGGATTTTACGCGATATAATCAGTTACAAAAATAACCTTTCTTTAGATTTAAGAATCTCGAACGGTTGGTATTCACTATAGGGCGATATTTTTGTGTACGACTGTCGCGAGTGAACTACCTTAATAGATGGGTGAAATAAACATAAACATCCAAGCATTTTTTGAGAAGTATGGATTCCCAGGCACAGTTGGAAGCATAGAATGCACTCACGTAGCGATAGTTTCACCACCCAATGCGCATCCTGCAGGTTCTCTTTATAAACGCAAGGGATATTATAGTATTAACGTGCAGTTAATTAACAAGTGCTGGATTAAAATTTTTAAATATAAATGCCAACTATCCAGGTTCCGTACATAATTCTGCTATATGGCAAATGTCTGCTGTCAACAATCATTTACGTCTACAAGGAAATTTATATTTTGATTTAGTAGATGAGGGGTATCCAGTAGTACCTTGCCTACTCACACAATACCCAGATAATATTGCTTCCAATAGTCCAGAGGGTAGATTTAATATTCAACTGAGAAGGGCTAGAAATATAGTAGAAAGGGTTAATGGAATTTTAAAAGGTTTCGATGTTTGCTAAAACATCAAACCTTAAATTACAATTCAGTTAAAGCCGGATAGATTATTAATTCTTGTGCTGTGCTTCACGACATTGCATTAATGTTGAGGTTTATTTGTTTTATAATGATTTTATGGAAAAAGTAATTTTATCGTATCTCATCCTGGTAAAAAAGTGGTCCAAAAATTATTCTAATTATAATTACAATCTGCACTTCTGTATCTGTAACGTGTGGAGGGTGCGTTACCCCCACGGCACTTGGGCCTCATTAGGCCCATTGTGCATCCTCCTAAAATGATAGGCACCTCCCCAGACAACAAACCAAATCCCAGAGATATCTACAGAATATCTTTTGTGGATATCCAATATATCCACAGGATATCAGAAATATTCCGTGGATCTAATATGGATATCCAAATGTCCGTCTATATCCAGAATATAGAAGATATCCTATGGATTATCCAGCAAAATATCTAATGGGTATCTTCCAGACAATAAAAGAAATCCCAGAGATATCCACAGAATATATTTTGTGGATATCCAATATGGATATCCAACCAAATGTCCGTCTATATCCCAGGATATAGAAGAATTCGGATATTCAGCAAAATATTTTATGGGTATCTTTAGTAGATGTTCATAAAAGTAACCAATGATTATTGAATAACGTTGAAAGAAAATAGCAGAGATAAAAAATATTTTCAACACTCTGCCTTTGATTTTACCCACTAAGGAGAAAGTCATCCTTATTAGGACTCTTCAGCAATAAATGGAAATTCTTGACTCCAGTCTCTACTGGCGTCTGATTGAGAAACAAATTTCGATCGAACTCAATTACGGCGGGTTAAGCATGAGTAGATGCGATAGTGGTATCACCATCTATACCTAGTAAGCAAAAGCAAAAATTACATCTAGTGGATATCCACGATGGTTTGCGTTCGCGCCTAGACTTTGATTATTTAGTGGATGTCCATGGGATATTGAATACACCTTAAAAAATTAATTTTAAATATCTGAACGGTACTATTAGCCACAGTGGCGAGCACAATGGCGTAATTTTTTAATAATTTGCTATATAATTACTATTATTTATGGACATTTGCATGTCTATAAATTACATCTCATGGATATAAAATAGATATCCACCATGGACTGGACATTCAGTGGATATTGGGATGTTCAGTAGATATCCAAAGGATTTGGTGTGCTGTCTGGGTCCTAGCTCATGAGCCAGCCTACATATTTAATGTAGTTGACAACGTCGCCAAGAGGTGCTTCTCTTATATCGGCCGGTGTTAGCTGATACTCGCCCAAACACAAATCTTCTAATAAATAAGAGCGTCAAGCAATCGTAAAGGATATGCTCGATGGTCTCATCTTCTTGTTCGCACCCTCTGTAGAGTGCGGATTCTGACAGCCCCATGATATGGATATGCTTCCGTATTTGACAATGACCAGTCAGAATACCTGTGACTAGGCGCAGATTCTGTCTAGTCATAGTCAAGTATTTGTTTGCTGCAGTGTTGTCAGGATAACTTAGGAGCTCCCTGGCAACTCTGCAGTTTCTTGTTTCATCCCATCTTTCCTTGAATTTCACAAGGGAATGTTCTTTAATTAGGTCTGTCTCTACCGATTTTGCCAGGCCAATAGAAGGGCCAGGTCCAAAAAGTAATAACTCTTAAAGTATATAATTTTATTTTATCTAAACTTGCATAAAATCTGCATGAATATCAATTTTATAATAGCATCGCACATACGTTAATAACAGAGATGGTACAAATATACTACATCATCTGAAGTAGATATATTATTGTTTTCCACCTGACTTGTTATGGTAACATTAGAACTTAAGATATTATGATGTTATTACTAATACATTTCCGCTAACAACTTACAAAATTTGCATCTTATCTTTAGATAAGATACTGGTTACTTCAGAAATAGCAAAGTGTTATTTACATTAATATTTTTAAGATACATTTTTAAAAGCTGCGAATATTTTTTAACTATTAAAATTCTATCAAAATATAAATACATAA